AACAAGGATGTTACACAAAGTATTCACTGTTATTAGTCTCTCTAGTTAGTTGGTCTTGTTAAAGAAGTCAAACTAACGTAACAATATTTAAAATAGATGCAATATTGTATAATGTTTGTACTGAGACATATAAATATGATTTATCGATAATTGTATAAAAATATACAATAGTACAAAATTGTCTAATAATTATATAGAATATTTGAATAATAACATAACAATGCAAAATAGCACAAATTTGTTTAATAATATAGTACAAATTTGTCTAATAATTATATAAAATAATTGAATAATAATATAACAATAAACAATAGTACAAATTCATTCAATAATATAGTACAAATTTATCCAATATAGCAATAATTATATGAAATATTTGAATAATATAAAATACTAAACATTTGTACAAATTATTCATAATTAATTACTAGCTGTATATGATCTGTAAATTGATTTATGAAAATATATAATATTATCAATTAATAATTATACAGTTTTATTTTATTTATTATCATTATTCATCACTATTGACCTCTTTATCTACAATATAAAATGACTTGTCAATTTCAATAAATCCTATAATATGATTAATAGCTGATGCACTAATAAATGCATATGACCCAAATTAGTTAAATTTCTTTATACTAACATTGTCCTCTTCAACAGATAATGTCTACTGAATATAAGCTAATATCTCCTTAGATTCTTCGAATTTATAAAGTAGGTAATATTCAACAATAGTATAAAAATCTTGAACTTTAAACATTAGTAGTCATTTTGAATAATTTGCATAAATATTAACTTCTATTTTAACCAAAACAGTATAATTAATTCGAGACCAGTCTTTATTCCAACAAATCTACTTTAACCTAATATAATGACCATCTTTAGTTCTGAGTTGCCATATTTTGTTCCTATTTAGCTAAAAGACCTAAGTTGCAAGCCAAATACATCTGATATAGTAGAAAAATGTTGCTTGATTTTTCTCAATTCACTTTATGTTGAGTTGAAGGAAAATAAAAGTTCTGACTATTCTCAGTATAAACTAGATACTCATTATATTTTTTTTGGCAAAATTTTTAGAAAAATCTGATTACTGATCATTTGATTGAACTTTAAACAATTAAAAATTTCAAGCAAGTGAATATTATTAATGAGGTTTTTATATGAATATAATCTTAACTTTGTTAATAGAAGTAACATTTCATACACTCTTTCAATTAGATATTGCCACATCATACAACAAGACCCTGTTTGAAAAATGCTTTCTGACATATATAACAAATTATGAATACATATTTTTATTGTACTCAAATGATCTAACTCTCCACAGTAATATTCTTTTTCATAATGAGTATAAAATACCAGAAGGTATGATTAAATTTTGTTTAAATTACTATATGTTATAATTTGTTTTTAACATAACTGAATGGCTTTCACAAATAAACCCTAGCCTTCATAATATTTTTTGGGTAAATGATTTTTAAGAAATGGTAATGAATATATTGTAATTCAGGAGAACCATTCTTTAGCTTTATAACTATTATGATGCAAAACAATATTTCTCAATAGTCAACCTAGATTTGATGGAATAGCTTTTCGAACTTGATGCATCTCTTTTCCAATTTTATCCAATATTTTTTTACTTAAAACATATTTGCTATTATTTAGGTTTGGATCTATAAAAAAAGAACACATTTAATGATCGAGCATATAACTGATGATATTCTCATAAAACAAATGCATAATATCCACAGAGAATGTCTTTAGAAAATTAGTGGTAGTAAGATCAAACATGATACTTCTTTTAGAAATACTATAACGTTTTATAATTTGATTTTGTTTGTGTATTGTGAATTTCTTGTATTTGTCTTTTGAACTCATTATAAGTTCTGAGAGGTAGATTTGCTGGATTATAAGTTTCACCTTTTTTTTCTTTAGGTGGTTGAGTAGGATAGTATACATATAAAGAATAAGTACCCTCTATATTGCAATAGTGACACTCTCTATATGAGTTATGACCTGTAAGACACTTTAATTTTGTAAGTGCAGGTATATCACTAGACCATAATAATACACAACTATGTAAAATAAATTTATCATTACAATTAATATTTAAACATTCTATTCCTTTCTCTAATTCATATAATTCAGAGATAGCAGGAAATAAGAAAGAATTTAGATCTTTCAGTTCTTTGAAACTAGGTATAACTGTGAAAATTAAGAAGTTTTCTTTTTTACATATTGTTCAAGTGGTAAGTTTGCATTTATAAATAACAAAATCCAATAATCGTCTGTTTTCTGTTTAAAAATTTGAAATCTATCAATCAATACTAATAAGGCAATATCATGTTTTTCTTTAAAATATCTATCCTCTACTAGGTTTTTATAGCACTGACTATTAAATACATCTCCAATATTTTTATTAAAATAATATTCTAGTCCTGAAACATATTCAGAATAATATAATAAATTGCTAGCTTGTGTTATTTCATTATATTGAATAATTATACGATCAATAATTGAGAAGTATGCAAATTGGCGACATGGCTTATCTTTTTGAAATTAATCTTAATAACGATCTTTTTTACAAAATAGGCATTCTCTTAGGTTGCTAAAATTATTTGTATAAGCATAACAGCTATTGATACACATATCTACTCATTTAGGCTTGAATGGAATTAATGATAACAATGTTTTTTTAATTAAGTATAAGCTTATTGGTTTTGTGACCACAGCTTCTATAATCTCATGAAAAGCTTTATTAAATAAGTTATTTTGCACTTTAACTTTTAAAAATCGAATTAGAATAGCGATCTCAGATGATATAAAGAGTATGCTCTCTAATAGTTAAATAGAGAGTGTATGATGTTAAATAAAAAAAAAAAATTGTAGTTTAGTATATTACCTTCACTTTCTGTTGTAGAAGTTATATTAGTTGTAAGCAAACTGTTATTGTTACTTTTTAATTCTTTCTTAGATTCATTATCCCATTCTAACCTATTTTCAAATCTGTTATCACTTTCTATTTATTTTCAAATTCATTACTGCCTAACTCATCTTCAAGTCTATCATAACTTTCTAATCTACCTTCAAATTCATTACTATATTCTAATCTATTCACAGATTCATTATTGCTCTCTAAGCAATTTTCAAATTTATTATTGCTTAGCTAGTCTGTAAATTTATTATTACTTTCTAAATTGTTTTTAAACTCATCATCCCTTTTTAAACAATTATCAGATCTGTTATTTCTTTCTGAGCTATTCTAAAAGTCTTAAGCTTTTCTCCAATCTGAACTAAATATTGATAATTCTTGATTCAAAACATATGAAGATATATTTATAATTGAACTCTGAATATCATCTTGAATCATTAAATTATTACTAGAACTTCGATTATTTCGTCTATCGCATTGTCAATGCCGAACTCTAGTACTTTTCAATACTAAAAATCCATTATATTCATTTAACAAATATATTTAGCAAGTACACCAAACGCGTGTCTCAGCTATTGCATTAATTAATTTTAAGAAAATTTATAAAAAAAAATTAATTTTTTTTTTTAAAAAACTTTTTTTTTTTTTTTTTTTTTTTTAGTTTCATTTTTT